GTGCTACCACGCCTGGCTCATTTTTTGATTTATTGTAGAGATGAGGTCTCGCTGCCCAGGGGGATCTCGAACCCACGGGCTCAGGCAATCCACTCACCTCAGCCTCCCAAAGTGCAGGATGACAGGCTGAGCCACCGAACCCAGCTCCTAATCCCCTTTTCAGGCCCCACCTCTTGGCACTGCTGCCCTGGGGATTAGGTTTCTATCACGTGAACTTTGGGGACACTTTCAAACCATAACACAGAGAAATGGAAACAGAAACTTACCTCTTGAAGTTAGGTGACGTAATGAAATTGCCTGTGGTTTGTTCTCACCTGGGCACGTCCCCAGCAGGAACTGGAAGTGAGCCGTCCGGGTCTCACTTTTCCCAGTTGCAAAACGGGGCGAGATGGGCCTGCGAAGTTTGCCGGGAAGCCCCTGGCACAGAACCTGGCTTGAAGCCTGCCGTTGAAGGGAGCTCCCCTGACTCCAGACCAGTACCCCATCTCACAGATCAGGAAGCTGAGGCCCACGGAGGGGGCTGAGGGGCAGCTGGGAAGCCCGGCCAGTGCTCGAGGTGGGGAGGCCGTGGTGATGTTGTTCTTGGTCCTCTGCCACCATTGCCGCTGAGGACGGGGGTCCTCTCTGACCCAGCGTGTGGCTATGACGATGTCCTCGAGGGAAGCCAAGGGTCAGCGCCAGCTGAGCCCTTTCCTCAGTCGCCCCACCTCCAGCGCTCCCGGCTTTTCTGTTGACAGACAAGAGTATGATGTTTCCCGAGAGTGGCAAAGAGATGACATGGCTGATGGCTTCAAGAACACAGGCATCTGGGAAGGTACCTCTCATGAGGGCAAGGGGGTCAGCAGAGCTGGAGGGTGGAGAAAGACGGGGAGGCACCCGAGACAGTGGGGTGACAGGGGGCTCCTGCCCCCCTTGCTGTGACCCTGGGTGACAGCCTGTCCCACACCCGCTGCTGCAGCCGGGTTCGTGCGCTTTCTCTGCTCCCCTGCAGCCCCTGGTCCAGCCTCCATTCACTGTGTGCAAGGGCGGCCAAGAGCCAGACCCCGCCCCAAGAGACCACCCCAGGGGCGGGCGTCAGATGCACACCCAGCCAAGCAGGATGAGAGGACCATGCCCAAGGCAGAGGGAGCCCAGGGGTGTGCCTGATTCAGCTGGGTGGGGGCGAGGGTCAAGAATGGCCTGAGTGGAGTCTGGAGCCGGTGAGTAAGCAGGTGTGTCTCCTGCTTCCACAAATGATGGTAGAGCCCGGTAAGGAGGGAGGCCTCATCCCGGTGAGGACGGGGCAGGGGTGTCCTAGGCAGGGGGCACTGCCCTAAGAAACACCTGCAGGTAGGAGAGAGCTTGCCTGGGGTTGGGAGGCAGGAACTGAAGGCAGATGAGTCTCGCCAAGAAAGAGCAGTCGAGGGACGTGAGGTTGGCAGAGCCAAGGGGTGGAGACTTTGGGGCCAGAATGGGGTGGGGGCGCCCCCTGGAGAGGCTTTTTTTTTTTGAGTTGGAGTCTCACTCTGTCGCCCAGACTGGAGTGCAGTTGCCGCTCCCGGCCACCGCAGCCTCGACCCGCTGGGCTCCGGCGATCCTTCCGCCTCAGCCTTCCGAGTAGCCGGAATGACAGGCGCCCGCTACCACGCCCGGCTGATTTTTTGATTTATTGTCGAGATGAGGTCTCGCTGCCCAGGCGGGTCTCGAACCCATGGGCTCAGGCCATCCACTCACCTCAGCCTCCCAAAGGCGCAGGATGACAGGCTGAGCCACCGAGCCCGGCTGGAGAGGCTTTAAACAAAGAGGGCCGGCCCGATGTGTGTAGCTCATTCAGGTGGGCTTGAGGGGGCGGCCCTGGAGTGGGAAGACCAGGTGGGAAGTGAGGCTGCAGGCTGGGCAGGAGTGGGTCTTGAGGGGGAAGGGCTGCCTGGTAGTGTGTCTGGAAGTGAGTGCGGGCTGCCGGGGAAGGAAGAGTGCCGGGGATTCCAGAGGGCGTCTGAGCTGGGCCCTGGTGAGGGAGAAGCAGCAGGTGGGCACACAGTTGCGGGGCTGGTGGGCGCTGAGAGGAGGCTCCTGCAGCCTCTGGGAGCACTGGGAGTCCTCAGCTCGCCAGACTGGAACTGAGGATGAGTTCCCGCCCAGCCACCGGGAGAACGCAGGAGCAAGGCGCGGGAAGGGTAGCGGGCAAAGGAGGCAGGAGAGAGAAGGCCTGGAGATACAGGGAGAGCCCCAGCCTGGGAGGGAGCGAGTGATCCACAGGACCAGGAGATGAGACTCCAGGTGGGACGGGCTGCCTGCCTGCCGTGGTTCCGTTGCTATGGGGGCTTGTGGCCCCATAGACTCCCTCCTGCTCTGCCCTGGCCTTGGCGCCCAGGGAACGCGCTCTGTGGCCGTAGCTTTCCACCCCACGTGTGTGGGGGGGGTTCTCTTTGCCCCCTCTTGTGCCGGGGTTCTGCTGGTCAGTCTCCCCAGGCAACTCCCGCCCGGGTAGCACCCCAGAAAGGGGCCATGACGGTGGAAGGCCAGCAGCGGGAAAGCAGTTCAGCCCAGATGCCGGACTGACCTCAGTCTGGCTCCCTTTGCCGGAAGGGGTCCCCTCCGTGTCACCCAGCCTCCCCAGGCGCACGCCACCCCAATACCTGCCTCTCCCTACAGGCAAGGATCTGAAGGAAGACAGATTCGGCCTTGAGAACGCCTACAGCCACTTCCGGCCCTCTCTGGAAAACATAGACCCTGCTGCAGAGGTGACAGCTAGGAGTTTCTCCCCTTCCCCAGGGGAGCCTCCCGCTCCTTGGGGTTTGTCCCTGTCCCCTGGAGCTCCCTACCACTTCCTGGGGCTTTCCCTTTCCCCTGGTTCTCCCCCCATCTCCTGGGACTCTCCCCACTCGGGGCTTCCCCTTGGCCTCACCCCTTCTCTCCTGCCCCCCAGCTCCATATCCAGAAGCCCCAGGTGGTGACAACCACTCTGTGAGCGGCCAGGGCTTCCACCCCTCATCCGGATCCGGACAAGAGAGCGCAAACAGCCCGCCACAGGCCGCCCTGAAGTCAAGCCCTGAAGCCAGGTCCCACTCAGAACCCAGGACTTGGCCGGTTGCCTGCCCCACCTGCTGGGAAGGGGTGGGGCCGCGAGCCCCGCTGCCCTGCCCTCCCTCTCCATCCGGGAGCCACCATCTCTAAGTTGCTTGGGTAGCACCCTTGTTTGCTGCTGGGTGACTCTCCACTCTGGAATCCCCTTTCCAATAAAAGCAATTGCAAAGTGCACAGTGTGAAGGAGAGGTTTCTTCCCCCTCCCTCTGCAGGCTGGGGGCGGCGTGGGAGGGGTAGGGGCCCCTTTCTGGGGAGAGCGTTTCTCCCTGGATTGGCTACTGAGTCTGAACTTGGGACACTCTGGGCCCCTTTCTGCTCCAGCCTAGGTAGGGTCGGGCCCACCGCCGTCTGGAGTTCCCGCTGCAGACAAGCCCGGGGTCAGGTCCTGGGGACAGGAGCAGACTTCAGGCCCAAGGGGCAAGGGATGGGAGCCCCCATAGGGCAAAGGAGTGAGCACTTGGCTCTGCTGGCCTTGGGCAGGGCAGGGACACTCCAGATGCCCACCTCTGTGCCCACAAACCCCCAGGCCCAGAGACCCAAGAACTCCCAACCAGACCAGGGCTGGGCACTGGTTGGGCTACCCATAGGACAGTAAGAAGGACTTGAAAAGAGGAAAAGGGAGTCTCCCTGCCAGGGTCTGGGAATCACCATGGGGTGCCCTTCTCCCTCTCTGCCCAGGCCTGGCCCCTTCCACCCCCCCGTGGCTGTCTTCTCCTCAGTTCTCCTGGGCTGCCACCCTCTCGGGGCAATAGAGCTGATTGCCCCATGCCTAAGTGCTGCTGGGAAGCCTCCCTCTGCCCTTTGGCCTGGGGCAGACTCTGCACCCCCAGTCATGAGGGAAGCTCCCAGACTGACTCAGGCTCAGGCTGGCCCCTAAACCCCAGTGTCTCAGGGACCAAAGGTCTCTGGGGCCCATTTATTTCTGCATCTCCTTGGCCGATGTTCATTCCGCAAGCTCCCAGGAGGGTGAAGGACCGCCACGCGCCGATGCCGAGGGAGATGACAATGGCACTCTGCCTGCTGGCCCTGGTCCTCCAGCTCCCGCCCCCCCAAGCTGCCGCCGAGCAGGGTGAGTGGCCCCCACCCCCAAGGCCAGCGCCACCTGCCCACCCCTGAGGGAGGGCTGCCTCCTGGGCCCCAGTGGGGGTGTCCCTGCCCTGCCCGGATCTCAGCTCCGTGCCCGCCCGGACTTCTCGCCCCTCCTCAGCGAGCTTCAGGGAAAGATCCAGGGCTCTGAAGCCTCTTCCAGGCCGGCCCCTCTGAGCCTCAGTTTCCTTTTTGGAGAGTAGGACTTAAACACCTGCTGGTCAGGGCTGCCGCCAGGGTTAAGCAGAATCTGCCTGGCGCACGACAGAGGCGCAACCAACGTTAGGGGCTTTTCTTGCTCAGGGAATGTCAGGTCACCTCCCTCTCACCTCCTCCCCTGTCCCCAGTGCTGGGGCCTTCCTTACGGGACACAGACACATGCCTTAAAGATCTGCTCTCTGTCACTTTTCTGGCCATTTCTGGCTGATTCTGGGTCACCCTACCCCTGTCGTTTCCGCGTCACCCCGCCTCTGCCTTGTGCCCTGAAGACGTTACAGAGCTACAGTCAAATAGGGACAAGATGACATTTCGGGAGCCCTGGATTCTAATCCCGACCAGAGCCAGCTACGCGCTCTGGGGCTGCTCAGTCCATCTTTGGCCCTGAAAAGGCCATTTCTCTCCTGGAAAGACGAGGGTTGGGACCTCTTCCACCTCCGCTACTTTGGGTTCATGGCCACGGGCACCAGGCTCAGGGCAGCAGGGGACAACAGTGGGTTCTGTTTGGACTCTCCAGGACCTCCCTCTGCCCCCAGCCTGTCCCTAGAGAAGAGAGGAGGGGAGCCGAGGCAGACACCAGAACTGTAAGCCTCAGGATCCCCACCCATGGGGTGTCACCCAGAGCTGTGGTGATGTCTCCCAGAGCTCCCACCCATGGGGCGTCATCACCTGTGGTGATGTCTCCCAGAGTTGCCTGTTCGTAGTGACCATAGCACCCTTCCCTGCACTTCCTGTGCCTCCCAGACCCTTGGCCATGAATCTATGACAGCAGCATCTTGGTCTCTGCCGTGGGCCTTAGGGGAAGAGCTTCCGGCTCCCACTTCTCCCGCCATGCTCCCCCTCTCTGGGTCCTTCTATGCCCTTCCCTCTCCCTCTCTTCCCTTTTCTTCCCTCTCCTTGCCCCATTATCTCTCCCCTTTTCTTCCTTGGCCTCCTCCCATATTCTGCATGTGGTGAATCCTTTCATATCCAGCCTCAGCCTCCTCCTCTGTCAAGTGGGAGTTTTCGGACTTTCTGCTCCTCCTTCCAGGATTCTGTGGTTTCCGGGCCTGGCATCAGCTTCTCTGGGCCTGTTATTGGCTGGTCTCTGGGGCCCTGGCCGGCTTCCAGTGGCCTCTGACCCTTCCGTGTCCCCTCTCTGGGGATACAGAGCCTCGCACATTCTTCCCTGGGGCTGGGGATGCCGGGGTAGGGCGTGGGCCTAGAGAGAGAGCCTGCTGGCCTTGGACACACCCTCCCATCTTCCAGCTCACCTGGTTATATTGCATATCAACAAAGCACAATGTCCTCTCTGCTGACGCAGCCCTGTCCTGCCTTTGCCTTTCCGCCACACCCAGCACGAATGTGGCCAAGGCCTGGGAGCTCAGTCCCTGTCCACTGCACGCATCTCTCTGCCCTCCTCCCATACCTGGCTCTTTCTCCCACCCTGTGCTCCACCGCCATCCTGCTCTGGTCCTCCTGCGAGATTCGGAGGAAGAGACCTTTAAGTGTCTGCCCTGGCCCCCGACTCCCATCCACACGGCCCACCTTCTCCGAGGAGCCTTCCAGGAGTCTCCACCAACTCCTCTCCCCTAGAACCCACCCCTGCAGACACAGGGGACCAGAAAGAACCTGTATTTGCTCCCTAGGGCTGCTACCATCACGTGTCACACCTGGGTTTCCAGGAACAAGAGAAATGTATTGCCTCATCGTCCTGGAGGCCAGAAGCCCAAGACTAAGGTGTCAGCTGGGCCACGCTCCCTCTGAAGGCGCCAGGGAAGGGTCTGTCCCAGGCTCTCCCCTGGCTCCTGGCAATCTCTGGCCCTCCTTGGCTTGTAGACCGTCCCCCTCAACCTCTGCCTCCGTCTTCGCACATGCGTTTCTGTCTCTGAGCTGGATTAGGGCCCTCGCTGCTGATCTCCGGTTTAACTCGACCACCTGCAAAGACTCTGTCTCCAGATGAGACCCCTTTCTGGGGCACTAAGGGTTTCAGTTCAACTCATAGCAGAAAATCATGAGATCCTGCCAGGTAGGGGGTGGGGGCCAATTCCTTAAAAAGGAATTGCTGTTCGCCAAAAAGAAGAGGGGGGAGACAGTGGGGAGAAGAGGTGGGTGAAATTGACCCACTTCCCCTCCACCCCTGACCCCCAGTGCCCTCCGGTGGAGAGGCAACTGCCTTGTCTGCAGGGCCCCCAGTCAACCCGTAGCCCTCACCTGCTGAGATGAGGGATGGACCAACAGGAAAACAATTGGAGAGGAGCTCACACAGTGGACATCACCGAACTGATTTCTCCCGGAACCTTTGGCGAGTCCTAATGGCAGCACCACCCCCCGCCTTGCCCCAACACTGCTCAAGCCTGGTCCTTTCTTTCACTCAACCCCCTGACTCCACCCCCTGTGAAGCCTACAGCTTCCTTCTCACTCCACCCTCTTCCCACCTCTCGGGGGGTCAGGGCCTACGGGGGAGGGTGGGGTGAAGACGATGACGAACCCGGGGACTCCTGTATCCGTCCCAGTTTTCCTGCAAAGGCCAGGCCCCAACGAGGACAGCAATGGGCTGGTTCCAGGACCTTCGGCCCGTCTTTGCCGTAAGAATGACCAGTGCTGGGAGCCACGGGGCCTCCTTGGCCTTCATGGCTCTGTTTCGCCTCCCTAGCTCTGGCCCGCTCTGGCCTAGGTGGCCAACTGTGGCCACCAGCGCCTCACAGAATGAGCAACTTCAGGCAACGACAGTGCCAAGATGACGGGGCTGAGACTTCTCATCTGGTCCCAGGCTGGCCTGGTTACGTGGTCTGTAACTGGGCAGGGTCCTTTGTTCCAAGATTATTAAGGATTTTTCAGACAAGGACAACAGAGCATGAAGCCAAGTGCAGGCCCTTGGAAACTCAGGGCCCTCCCTGCATGGAAGCCAGCCCGACATCCAGGCAGCAAACCAGATTTTAAAAATCGGTCATAAAAAGTTGATCAAAAAATAAATTGTGTGCACCACAGAAGGGGGCATTTGAAGACGTTTTAATGTTTCTTTAAGCATTTTTGTCTATTTTTCAGAATGAGGATTGACTTGGTGGCGGGGAGCTTTCATCTCCTGTTTTGATTTTTGCATTTCTTTAAGCATTTTCCCCAACTGTCTACTTTGAGAAATGCCAAACCTTGATGAGACTAGTACATATTTTTAAATTTCTAAAACATTTTCAATGTTTTCATAATCTTTACACACTTGACTCCCGCTGTAAGCAAACAACTGTTGAAAAACAGTTGATGGCTGGGCTCGTTGACTCAGTCTGTCATCCCAGCATTTTGGAAGGCCAAGGCTAGTGGATTGCCTGAGCCTGTTGGCTTGGGACCAGCTGGGGCAACTTGGCAAGACCTCATCTCTACAATAAACCAAAAACTAGCCAGGCGTGGTAGCACGTGCTTACAGTTCCGGGTACTTGGAAGGCCGAGGCCGATGGATCACCGGAGCCCAGCGGATTGAAGCTGGGGTGGCCGTGAGTATGTCACTGCACTCCAGCCTGGGTGACAGAGTGAGACTCCAACTCAAAAAAAAAAAAAAAAAAAGAAAAGAAAACCATTTGATGGCAAACAAATACTTCCAACGATCAGCTCCTTTTTCTTCTGACTTTTGTACATCCCAGGATGATTTAACCAAGCTTATGCTTTGTTTTTTAAACAATGTTATTTGCTCTTGGGTTTATTTGGTTTTATTTTTTTGAGGTGAAGTCTCACCCTGTTGCTCAGGCCGGAGTGCAGTGGCAAAATCATAACTCACCACAACCTTGATCCCCTGGCGATCCTTCCACCTTAGCCTCCTGAAAAGCTGGGACTACAGGCACGTGCTACCATACCCAGCTAATTTTTTTTTTTTTAATTTCTGGTATAGACAAGGTCTTGCTATGTTGCCTAAGTTACTCTCAAACTCCTGGGCTCAAATCCTCCCACCTCAGCCTCCCAAAGGGTTGGGATTACTGACATGAGCCACTGTGTCCGGCCTTATTTGGGCTTTAAATTATTTTTAAAACTTAAAAATATAGCTACTAGTGTTTGCATTTTCTATATTTTTATTACTAAACCATAATAACTATTTGATTAATTTACATGATTCCACTGTGGATGAAAGGTGGTTGAGTGAGGTGGGGGGTGGAAGTCCGGAAGAGGACAGAGCACCTGCTGGGCTTAGCCGTGGGTTTTGAATGTCATCTAAGGTGAAGGAGGCTGCATTAGTTGCCTAGGGCTGCCATAACCGAGCACCTCAAACTGTGGGATTAAGCCACAGAAATGCATTATTGTCTCACAGTTCTGGAAGCTGGAAGTCTAAGATTAAGGTGTCCACAGGGTTGGTTTCTTCTGAGGACGGTAAAGGAAAGTCTCTCCCATGTTTCTCCCAGTTGTCGGGGGTTTGCTGCGATCTTCAGTGTTGCTTGGCACATAGAAACTCTCTCCTTATCCTTCCCCTCCTCCTTTTTAGAGGGAAACTCTCTCCTTCTCCTCTTCCCTCTCCTCCTTTTTAGACTAAAGAGGTGCATTGGCTAGTATACTGCCATGTAATGTCAAACAGAATCAGGGACAGCAGACATCCCTGTCTTGCTCCTGGTCTTGGAGGGAAGCCTTTGGTCCCTGACCATTATGGACTGTCAACTGTAGTGTTTTTGTAGACACTCTTTCTTGGGTTGAGGAAGTTTCCTTATATTCCCAGTCTACTGAGATTTTTGATCAGAAAGTGGCGTTTGATCAGGAACTCTTCATTAAGAATTGATTTTTCAAGATTAAAACAAGATCCCTACCTACCACCATATACAAAAGTTTTAAAAATTGATTTTTCAATTGTTTTTACCTGTGTCTACTGAGATGATTATTTGGTTTTTATTTTTTAGTTTGTTAATATGGCGAATTACATTAATTTTTTAAAAAAATGTTAAACTGATAGTGCATTCCTAGAATGGCTATGATGCATTACCTTTTCAGCACATGGTTCTACTGAATTGTCTAAAATTATGTTTAGAATTTTTGCTTCATTGTTCATAAGGGATATTGGTCTGTAGTTTTCTTTTCTTGTAATATCTTTGTCTGGTTTTTTATATCAAAGCAATTCTGGCCTCCCAGAATAAGTTAAACACTATTCCCTCCTCTTTAATTTTTGGAAGAGTGTGTGTAGAGTTGGTATTATTTCTTCCATAATTATTTAGTACAATTTACCAGTGAACTGTCTGGCTTAGAGTCTTCTTTGCAGGAAAGTTTTAAAGCTACAATTTCAACTTCTTTAATAGACATAGGGTTATTAGGTTATCTATTTCTTCTTGAGTGAGCTTTTGTAGTTTGTGTTTTCAGATAATTTGTTCATTTCATTTACGTCATCAAATTTATTGGCATAAAACTGTTTAGAAAAATCCTTTTTAATATCTGCAGAATCTAAACACTTTAGTAGTTTTCTTCATGTTTCTTGTGTTTGGGGTTTGTTGAGCTTCCTGAATCTGTGAGCTGATTGTTTTTTATCAAGTTTGGACATTTTTGGCCACTGTTTCTTCTTATTTTTTGGTTCTCCCTTTCTCTCCATGCCTTCAGGGACTCCAATTACTCATATATAAACCTGCTTAAAGCTGTCTCAAAGCTCACTGATGACCTTTTACAGTTTTATTAAATTCATTTTTTTCTCTGTGTATTTCAGTTTGGATAGTTTCTGTTGCCTCTAAATTATCTTTTTCTCCCCCTTCTTCTTCAGTGTCTAGCTTGTCCTCAATCCCATCTGGTGTCTTTTGAGCTCTAGAAGTTTTGTTCAGGTGTCTTCCCCCATATTTTCTATTTTCTATTTAAATTGTTACACTTATAGAATGCAGTTATCCAAAAAAAAACTCCCTTAATGTATTTATTTCTCTGAGAATTCTTACGTCTGCTCTGGGTAGGTTTCAACGTATTGATTATTTCCCTCATTATGAGTCATGTCTTCTTGATTCTTCCTGCTTAGTAATGATTAATTCCTAGTCTGCTGAGATTTTTACTTTGTTGGGTGGTGTGCACTTTTGTATTTTTTTTAAAAATCTTGGGAGTTGTCCTGGGAATGCAGCCAAGTTAGCTGGAAATGGTTTGATCCACACAGTTCTCATTGTTATGATTTCTTAGGTGGGTTCCAAGAAATGCTCCGTCTAAGACTGTTACTGAAGCAAAGCCTTCCAAATACTCTATGCAATGCCCTGTGAGTTATGAGTGCTTCCGGTTTGGCCCTATAACCCATTCCTTCTAACCCTTTCCACCAATATCTCCCTGGGTATTGTCCTCATAAGCATACTCTGATCAATACTGTGCTTAGTACTCAAGAAGGATTCTCTGCTGCTCTCCAGGGGTCCCTGTGCAGCTTTCTCCTTTCTAGTAACTCTGTCCCACGAACTTGAACTGCCTTGGTCTCCCAAGACTCTTATCGGCATCACCTCAATTTAGGGCTCCCCTGGTCTCTGCCTGGGTTCACCTTCCCTGCACGGCTGCTTGGAAACTCTCTCAAACCAATAAGTTGAGCAGCGGAAGCCTCTCTTCATTAGTTAACCATCTCTCAGGCGTCATTGCCCTTTGCTGATATATGCTGTACTGAAAATCACTATTTCATAGCTTTTATCTGGTTATATGGCTATGGGGAGGGGCATGTAGAAAGGTAAATCCAACCTCTGTTAGCTCCAAAGTGTTTACTAGTTAAATTTCTTTAAAGCATCTTAAATTGAGGTTACAAAATGAATACAGTGGGACTTGCATATCTGTGGGCTCTGCATCCGTGTATTCAACCAACCTCAGATTGCAAATATAGGGCAACCTCTTTCAGGTCCCCTCCTGCTGTGGGAGCTTTCCGGTCTTCTTAATAAATCCTACTTCAAAAAATAAAATAAAATATTAAGAAAAAGGTATATGGTTACATCTGTACTCAAAATGTACAGATGTTTTCCCCGTCATTATTCCCTGAGCAACACAATATAATAACTATTTACACGCTATTTACATTGTACTAGGTATAACAAGTAATCTGGAAATGACTTAAAGTATATGGGAAGGCTGGGTATGGTGGCTCTCCACCCCAAAGATGACCGAGGTGACCCTTGTAATCCCAGCATTTTGGGAGGCCAAGGCGGGAAGATTACTTGCGTCCAAGAGTTTGAGACCAGCCACGGCAATATAGTGAGACCTTGTCTCAAAAAAAAAAAAAATTAGCTGGGCATAGTGGCATGTACCTGTAGTCCTAGCTACTTGGGAGGCTGAGGTGGAAGGATCCCTTGAGTCTAGGAGTTCCAAATCTGTAGTGAGCCGCAATTGTGCCAATGCCTCCAGCTTGGGTGGCAGAATAGATCCCAACTAAAAAAATAATAATAATAAAGTATAAGGAAGGATGTGTATAGGTGATATGTAAACATCACACTATTTTTTTAAATCAGGGACTTGAGCATCCTTAGAATCTGTAGGGGTTCTGGAACCCTGCTCCCCAGATACTAAGGGGTGACTGTATACTGTATTTTCAATTTGAAGACTTCAATTGTCTGATTAATAAACAAAATATTTCCAAGTACTTAACAATTCCACAAATATATTAAATATATATTTTTAAAAACTTCCCAAGGCATAAGTAATTCTACAAGTCTAATAAACTACATGTATAAGTATGGTGATTCTTAAGTTCTCTTAAGTGTCTTAACACTGTTCATAACCTTAGCAAAATTCTAATGTAAAATCACAAGTCTAAATTACTCATTCATTTATGTATTTTTAAATTATCTTCAGTGGTGTGCCTCTGTAGTTCAAGCTACTAGGAAAGCAGAGATGGGAGAATCGTGTGAACCCAGGAATTCGAGGCTGCAGCGAGCTATGATTGTACCACTGCCCTCCAGTCTGGGTGACAGAGGGAGGCCCTGTCTCCATAAACCAATCAATCAATCAATCAATCAATCAGTAGCAACTACAATGTTAGCATGTTATTCTAATAGGCCATATTCTCTGTAACATGTTAGAAATATATTAAATACCTAATGTGAAGACATTATTTAATACAAATAATGGGTCTGAATTTCTTTCTTTCTTTTTTTTTTTTTGAGTTGGAGTCTCACTCTGTCGCCCAGACTGGAGTGCAATGGCCGCTCCCGGCCACCGCAGCCTCGACCTGCTGGGCTCCGGCGATCCTTCCGCCTCAGCCTTCCAAGTAGCCGGAATTACAGGCACGCGCTACCACGCCCAGCTAATTTTTTATTTATTGTAGAGATGAGGTCTCGCTGCCCAGGCGTATCTTGAACCCGCGGGCTCAGGCAATCCACTCACCTCAGCCTCCCAAAGGCGCGGGATTACAGGCTGAGCCACCGAGCCCGGCTTGGGTCTGAATTTCTTAAGGGTGACAAGAGTAATCCTACATGTTCCTGAGACATATTCATCGAAGCTTCCTCTGTATTACTTATGATATTTTTGTATCTGCTGTTCCAGATATGCTCAGAGGGTACAATGTCCCAACCACAAGCAAAGGTTCTTCTCGCTCTTATAATAATGCAAAACGAGTGTTCCAGGGTTGGCAGACAGTTTTCACGTGGTGGTTCAGGTACCCGGGTTCCTTCTTCCTGAGGCTTCACTCTCAGGTTTGCACAGGCTATTTGCAAGCACCACACTATTTCATATAAGGGACTTAATTGAGCATCTGTGGATTTTGTTATCCACAGAGGGTCCTGGATCCAACCTCCCGCAGATACCGAGGGACAACCATAGACTGTATTTTCTGTTTAAGGACTTCAGATGTCTAATTAGTAAACAAAGCCTTGGGAAGAAGGAACCTAACTCTCTGAATCACCATGTAAGTGCGTATTTTTTTGCCAGCCCGGGAAGAACCATCAAGACCATCAGGGAAGTTTTACAAACCAGTTCTGAGAGTGGTACCAGCCACGGGACTCATGTTCCATTGGAGACACTTAGTCACACATGAGTATTTTCTTCCCTGAATCTGGGCAAGAGCTCCGTTTCCTACACCTGCACAACCAGACACCTGGGCCTCCGGTAGAACCAGCGAGATCTCAGCCAGCCCCCGCCCCATTTCATGCTTCACTTATGTGGTGGGCACCGTCATGACGACTGATGTCTAACTGTGAAATCAGCACGCTGGCCCAGCTGCCAGGGCCTTTCCAAAGCAGGGAGTGAAATGGAGAGGCTTTCAGAGAGCGGAGGACTCCTGGTGGGAGGGAGGACTGCGGCCCCAGGAGACTAACCAGCCCTTCTTTCTTTCAGACCTCAGCGTGAACAGGGCTGTGTGGGATGGAGGGGGGTGCGTCTCCCCAGAGAACCTCGGGGACCCTCAGTGCTGGCAGCTATCCCGGAATAAGACAGGTGAGGTGACAGACCTGAATCTCTGAGAAGGGGGCGCACACAAAAAGGGGCTGGAGCTACCCTACTAGTCATCAGTGATGACTTGAGATTTGGAGCCAGAAAACACCGTTTAAGGGTGGAAGAGAATTCAAGGTGAGCTCAATACCTAACAGCCTAAAGGGAGGGCAAGAGGATCTAAAACCTGCAGAGCATGGGTTCGGTTTCCTTCAGAACGTGGATTCTGACCGCCTCAGTTCACTAACACAATTTCACTAGAAAACCCAATCCTGGCAGCTATACCAGAAACGAAGAACACAGAGAAATTCCTAAATAAGACATCATATCTTCACAGGTCCCGTTCCCGGTCTCTCCATGAGGATGACACATCAAGAGTCTGGAACAGCAAAGAGGAAGGTCAGAACCAGCCTTCAGATGACCCCAAGACAGTCCAGTAAAAATGATGAAAGACCCAGGGAGAATACCACAAGCGAAAAGACCCTAACAAAGTCCACCATGAATTCTGAAAGTCGTACTAGGACCATGAGAACACAGATAGCCCAGGCAGAGTCCAGTGGGACTGTGGAAAATCTAACAGAGACTGACATGGTTGATATGACTGCAACAGAGTCCAGCGTGCCTTCTGAGGAGATGACACATGATGCCACCACTGGGATGCCCAGGGCAGAGGACAACACCCCTGCTACCAACCTGGCTGAGGCCAGCACACCATTAACAACCAACCACGTACCCAAACCTGGGTCCAGTCCTTCTGAGGGTAGTGCAACTTCAAAGCCCATTGGTGAAGCTGGCACTCCTACAGTCTCCTCGACAGAAGCTCGTTTACCTCGGACAACTCTTAAAGGCACCACCATGGTTCGGCCTCCTGCAACGGAGAAGACCACTCCATTAAGAACAACTCTGGTCACCGGCCCTGGTGAGACCAGTTCTTCTAGGGTTAACACAAATTCAAAACCTACTGATGATGCCAGGATACCTATGATCTCCTCAACAGAAGCTGGTTCATCTCCCACACGTCCTGAAAGCACCACGGTGCCTCTGTCCTCTCCAATTGAGAGGATCACTCCAATAACAACTATTTCGGTCGGCAGCACACCTGAGAACAGTCCTCCTGGGAGTAGTCCCGCATCAACTCCCAGAGGAGATGGCACTTCACCTTTCACCTCTTCTATTGAAGCTGGTTCAGTTCCCACACCTACTGAGAGCAACACCGAGCCTCTGTCCTCTCCAACTGAGAGGATCACTCCCAAAACAACGATTTCGGTCGGCAGCACACCTGGGAACAGTCCTCCTGGGAGTAGTCCAACATCAACTCCTATAGGTGATGACACTACACTTTTCACCTCTTCCACTGTAGCTGGTTTATCTCCAACACCTCCCGAAAGCACCACCACTCCTCTGTCCTCTCCAACTGAGAGGACTACTCAAATAACAACTATTTCCATTGGGAGCACACCTGGAACCAGTTCTACTGGGAGTAGCCCGACGACAACCCCTATAGGTGGTGCCAGTACACCTTACACCTCTTCCACTGTAGCTGGTTCATCTTTCACACCTCCTGAGAGCACCACAGAGCCTCTGTCCTCTCCAATTGATAGGATCACTCCAAAAACAACTGTTCCTGTCAGTAACACGCCCGGAACCAGTCCTCCTGGGAGTAGCCCAACATCCACCCCTAGAGGTGATGGCACTTCACCTTTCACCTCTTCTATTGAAGCTGGTTCAGTTCCCACACCTACTGAGAGCAACACCGAGTCTCTGTCCTCTCCAACTGAGAGGATCACTCCAATAACAACGATTTCGGTCAGCAGCACCCCTGGGAACAGTCCTCCTGGGAGTAGCCCAACATCCACCCCTAGAGGTGATGGCACTTCTCCTTTCACCTCGTCTATGGAAGCAGGTTCAGTTCCCACACCTACGGAAAGCAACACCGAGCCTCTGTCCTCTCCAACTGAGAGGATCACTCCAATAACAATGATTTCGGTCGGCAGCACACCTGGGAACAATCCTCCTGGGAGTAGTCCCGCATCAACTCCCAGAGGAGATGGCACTTCACCTTTCACCTCTTCTATTGAAGCTGGTTCAGTTCCCACACCTACTGAGAGCAACACCGAGCCTCTGTCCTCTCCAACTGAGAGGATCACTCCCAAAACAACGATTTCGGTCGGCAGCACACCTGGGAACAGTCCTCCTGGGAGTAGTCCAACATCAACTCCTATAGGTGATGACACTACACTTTTCACCTCTTCCACTGTAGCTGGTTTATCTCCAACACCTCCCGAAAGCACCACCACACCTCTGTCCTCTCCAACTGAGAGGACCACTCAAATAACAACTATTTCCATTGGGAGCACACCTGGAACCAGTTCTACTGGGAGTAGCCCGACGACAACCCCTATAGGTGGTGCCAGTACACCTTATACCTCTTCCACTGTAGCTGGTTCATCCCCCACACCTTCTGAGAGCACCACAGAGCCTCTGTCCTCTCCAACTAATAGGATCACTCCAAAAACAACTGTTCCTGTCAGCAGCACGCCTGGAATGAGTCCTCCTGGGAGTAGCCCAACATCAACTCCTAGGGGTGATGGCACTACACCTTTCACCTCTTCCGCTGTAGCTGGTTCATCTCCCATGCCTCCTGAAAGCACCACAGAGCCTATGTCATCTCCAACTGAGAGAACTACTCCAATAACACCTATTTCTGTGGGGAGCACACCTGGATCAAGTCCTCCTGGGACTAGTCCAACATCCACTCCTGCAGGTGAGGGCAGTACCCATTTCACGTCTTCTCCTGAAGCTGGTTCATCTCCCACACCTCCTGAGAGCACCACCGTGGCTCTGTCATCTCCAACTGAGAGGACCACTCCAATAACACCTGTTTCTGTGGGGAGCACACCTGGAACAAGTCCTCCTGGGCGTAGTCCAACATCCACTCCTGCAGGTGATGGCAGTACCCATTTCATGTCTTCTACTGAAGTTGGTTCATCTCGCACACCTCCTGAGAGCACCACTGTGGCTCTGTCATCTCCAACTGAGAGGACCACTCCAATAACAATGATTTCTGTGGGGAGCACACCTGGAACACGTCCTCCTGGGAGTAGTTTAACATCCAATCCTACAGGTGATGGCAGTACCCATTTCACGTCTTCTCCTGAAGCTGGTTCATCTCCCACACCTCCTGAGAGCAGCACCGTGGCTCAGTCATCTCCAACTGAGAGGACCACTCCAATAACACCTATTTCCGTGGGGAGCACACCTGGAACAAGTCCTCCTGGGAGTAGCCCAACATCCACTCCTGCAGGTGAGGGCAGTACCCATTTCACGCCTTCTACTGAAGCTGGTTCATCTCCCACACCTCCTGAGAGCACCACCGTGGCTCTGTCATCTCCAACTGAGAGGACCACTCCCATAACACCTATTTCCGTGGGGAGCACACCTGGATCAAGTCCTCCTGGGACTAGTCCAACATCCACTCCTGCAGGTGAGGGCAGTACCCATTTCACGTCTTCTACTGAAGCTGGTTCATCTCCCACACCTCCTGAGAGCACCACCATGGCTCTGTCATCTCCAACTGAGAGGACCACTCCAATAACACCGATTTCTGTGGGGAGCACACCTGGAACAAGTCCTCCTGGGAGTAGTTTAACATCCAATCCTACAGATGATGGCAGTACCCATTTCACGTCTTCTCCTGAAGCTGGTTCATCTCCCACACCTCCTGAGAGCACCACCATGGCTCTGTCATCTCCAACTGAGAGGACCACTCCAATAACACCTATTTTCGTGGGGAGCACCCCTGGAACAAGTCCTCCTGGGAGTAACCCAACATCCACTTCTGCAGGTGATGGCAGTACCCATTTCACATCTTCTTCTGAAGCTGGTTCATCTCCCACACCTCCTGAAAGCACCACCATGGCTATGTCATCTCCAACTGAGAGGACCACTCCAATAACACCTATTTCTTTAGGGAGCACACCTGGAAGAAGTCCTCCTAGGAGTAGCCCAACATCCACTCCTGCAGATGATGGCAGTACCCATTTCACGCCTTCTACTGAAGCTGGTTCATCTCCTACACCTCCTGAGAGCACCACCGTGACTCTGTCATCACCAACTGAGAGAACTACTCCTATAACACCTATTTCCGTGGGGAGCACCCCTGGACCAAGTCCTCCTGGGAGTAGTCCAACATCCACTCCTACAGGTGATGGCAGTACCCATTTCCCGTCTTCTACTCAAGCTGGTTCATCTTCCACACCTCCTGAGAGCACCACGGTGCCTCCGTCCTCTCCAACAGAGAGGATCACTCCAATAACAACTGGTTCTGTCGGCATCACACCTGGGACCAGTCCTCCTGCAGGCAGCCCAACATCCACTCCTAGAGGTGATGGTAGTACCACTTTCACGTCTTCTACTGAAGCTGGTTCATCTCCCACACCTCCTGAAAGCACCACCGTAACTCTGTCCTCTCCAACTGTGATGACTACTGCAATAACAACTATTTCTGTTGGCAGCACAGCTGGGACCAGTTCTTCTGAAAGTAGCCCAACATCCACTCCTAGAGGTGATGGTAGTACACCTTTCACCTCTTCTACTGGACCTGGTTCATCTCCCACACCTCCTGAAAGCACCACCGTGCCTCTGTCTTCTCCAACTCTCACGACCACTCCAATAACAGCGATTTCTGTCGGCAGCACACCTGGGACCAGTCCTCCTGGGAGTAGGCCAACATCACCTCCTGCAAGTGGTGCCAGCACACCTTTCACCTCTTCTACTGAAGTCAGTCCGTCTCCTATGTCTCCTGAGGGCAGCACTGTGTCTGTCGGCAGCACCCCTGTGGCTTCCTCTTCAGAGTCCAGCACGCCATCCACCACTGCCCCACACGCCACCCCCTCCCTTTTTCCTCCTGGTCACTCCAGCTCGCCTCCTGCAACGCCTGCCTCCTCCACGCCTGGGACCCCAGCGGTTGTCACCGTCACAGCTGCCAGGACAACACCGAGCACACCCATCCCTTTCTCCTCTGTGCTCCCCGTCGTCACTGTCCCCCCCTCTATTCCCACGACGAAACCCACCCCCACCTCAACTTCCACGACAAAGCCCACCACAACCTCAACTCCTACTGTGCCCACCACCACGCCAGGTAAGCGGTTTCCTGAACTTTTCTTTTTCTTTTCAGCCACCACCACCTCCTCCTCCTTTTTTTCCGTTATGGTTTTCTTCCTACACTTAAGCTCCTTTTGCTCTTACTTATTTTCCATTTGATGAAACCTACATCAAGGATGTCAGTTACCACCCCTAATGTCTCACTTCTCTGCCTTTGCCTTGCTGTTTTTGTTTACACACGTTCCGCCTGTTCGTACAGAACATTACCTCTCTGCGGAGACACCTCAATCCCTGGTAAACTGTCCACAAGTCCTGTTGCCTCCATTTTGTGCTCTGCGGATCTCTATCACTTTGCACTTTGTATGCCATAATGTAATTAACCCTGGATGCTTTGTGTTTTGACATCATTTTGTGGTTTCTCTCATTGATTTTGTTCATACTTTAGTCCAAAAAATTGTCTTTGCAAGAGTTTGTTGTCAATAGTGTTCATGTGTACCTCTGTGCACCTTTGGAAACTATCTCTGCTACCATTCACTTTTATTTTGTTCCATTTTACCCCCTAAGCACCCACCATGGAAGCAAAAGAAGGTTCCTTCACTTCTATCAGCTCTGGTCTCTACCTCCTTGTTCACGAGTATTTCACTGTCATTGTACACCCCCCTCCTTTCTCTGACTCTAGAACTTTTGCTCTGCTCTCTTCACTCTGGTCAGGATGAGACCAGCACCACTCCACATTTACTCTGTGTATCATATTACATATGTTATAGAACATACACTATTATTCCCAGATTGAGAAAGGATCTTTGGCATGCATTATAGAAAGTATGCTAATTAAGATACCTGAAAACACCGATTTAGGTGAAACACATGTAGGCTCACAGGTGTGATCTGCGTCTGCCTGGGAAAATGCCCGGTCCCATCCTGAACTGATGCAGATGAGGAGAAGTTATTCAGCTTTTGGCTCCTGTGTTTTCTCCAGACTCTGTGATTTCTTCCTCTGTTGAGTTCCACGTGGCCTGGACTTTATGTCATGTGATTTTACTTCTGGTTTCTCCTCCTCGTGTCTTTGATTCTCAGCTGGGTAGACTAAGAACCTTCAGGTAGGAAGTCTGGACCCTGTCTCCAGGAAGCCCCAAAGGTGTCTCATGGCAGAGGCCAGGTGGCTTCACTGCTGCTAGACCCACAGCCTGGTCAGTCACCTCTCTGAAGGCAGACAATCCCCCTTTGGTCTTCCTCCTACTCCCCAAGGGTGGTCTTTCCCTTTGGCCTGTTGGGCCGTGGGTGAACACACCCCGGCGGCTCCCCTTTTTGCTTCCCACTGGCCCAGGCACCGGCACTCAGCTCAGGGTTGGGCATCTATGGTAACGAGGGAGGGAGAACGAGACTGGCTTAGGATCTGTGGATTTCCAGGGTATCCAGGACTCTTGTCTTCTCTCTTCCATGCTTCCCAAATGTCTTGGACCAAAAGCCCATAAACAGAGGCTGCATGATGTGATTTTCATGGGTGTGGCCCCTGATCATGGTAGGCCAGAAGGCAGAGGTCCAGCAGGTCTTTGCCAAGTGTATACATGCCTTGTGTGCATTCCCAGAAAAAATGCACCTCCGATACTGGTCTACACAGGCACAGCGATTTTCAAGAAAAGCCAAAGGGAACTGAACTTTTCCAGATAGATTGACGCAGATCGTTGAGAGTTGTCTATCGCCACTTCCTATCTATTTAAACTAAGATTTATGCTCCTCCCTCATACTCCACTTCCCAGTAGATAAAAAAGGAATCATACTGACATCACCCTAACAATTTCCAGAACAGGCTTTTCTGAAGCAGGAGTTGAAGGATGATGACAATCTCATCCTAGACTTTGACCTTGGTGGAATCTAGATTTGTTGACGCAGCTGGGTTCTCTCTCTCTCCTGTCTCCTGTTTTCTTTTCCTCAGCACAAACTGTGTTTTTCATCCCTCACATCACCAAGTTTCTCTTTCTTCACGTTTTTGGGCTAAAGCCGGATCACATACGGGCTGCATGTGGACCTGTGGGCAGGTCTCTCAGCCTCTCTCTGCCTGTCTTCTCCTGTCTGTAAAGTGAAGATGATGCTATCCGTCCGTGCACTCCGGGAGTATCAGTGAAAACACACTGTGAGCTATAAAGTCCTTGTTTCTTTCAGTGACCTGCCTAAATGGGGGGACATGGAAAGGAGATGCCTGTGTTTGCCCCACTGGCTATGGAGGAGATCGGTGCCAGTTCGTGACCAACATCTGTCACAATGGAGGCTCCTGGGATGGGCTCAAATGTCAGTGCCTCAGCCCCTACTATGGGGAGAAGTGCGAAGACGTGTACAACAACATCGAGATGGGTGAGCATGACCCCAGACCCTCCCCTCCTCAGGGGGCCCAGTTCCTGCCTCATGTTGATGTATGGCCAGAAACAGGGCCTCTTCTGGGTCATATGTTTTTATCCAGTGGTGAGAAATGTAAAGCATTTAAAAAATGAATAAAACAAGCCGGGCTCAGTGACTCAGCCTGTAATCCCAGCGCTTTGGGAGGCTGAGGTGAGTGGATTGTCTGAGCCTGTGGGTTCAAGACCCGCCTGGGCAACTTGG